ATAGATGACTCCTTCAGGACCAGTGGTGAGAGGGGCGATGCCTGGAGGGTGAAGGGAATGTGGGGTAGAAGGGGGGAATCAATTACAAGAATCTAAGTATAGCCTCCCCTGGGGGATGGACAGCAGAGAAGAGGGTGGAAGGAGACGTCGGACAGTGTCACTTATGACAAAGCTATAACAATTTATGAATTATGAAGGGTTCATGAGGGAGGGGAAAAATGAGTAACTGATGATGATGGCAACAAATGTACATATAAATGTACATATAAAATATATTTCTACAATAAAATAATTTTTTTTAAAAAGAAAAGAAAAAGAAAAACCAATTTCCTCTGTAAACTTTCACTCCAATCACAAGAAAGAGTTAAACAAACAAAAACAGAAATTCAAGACTGGACTCTTCTGAGGGTGGTGCTTCCTGTGCTCTGCCCCTGTGCACCCTGAAATCTCTCTTGCCGCCACCTTTGCACTGGGGCAGAGCTGAGCAAACTTTTCCTTACACGCATTTTATGACTTGAGGGCCACCTGGTTGCTCTCATAGCTACTCAACTCTGGTCATAACTCACCATCAGCCAGAAACAATACATAAACCAATGGGGATGGCTATGTTCTAGTAACTTTATTTATGGAAACATGTGGCCAGCCCACAGAACAGTTTCTTTTTACTCCAGATGTGAAGGCAAAGCAGAATATAAAACCTCCCCACTACAGCAAAGTATGAGCTGCATGAGTAGCATAGCTGCAGCATGCCCTACTATATGTACTTGGCTTTGGACTTGAGCACCGATAGCCTGGACGAAAGGACAAAGTTGATGGCTAAACTCATCTACCACAATCAAGTTCCGCCAACCCCATCTTCCTTCCCATCTCACAGCCTCTCAATTAATATGTAGCTATCAAGTTACTAAGCCATCAACTTACTAAGAATCTTGGTGTTCTCTCAGTCTGGTCAAAAGAATAAGTGATCACTTTATAGGGGCTAAAGTCCAAGTTTCTATTTGATAAAGATGTACAATAGGTTCTTTAAAAAAAAATAAGTTACATAACATAAAACATTCTGGGTACAAAATGCACATCAAACACACTAGTCATGGAGAAGACCAGAAACTAATAAACACAATCCACATGTAGAATGAACTTATTCTCTGCAGGCACAGTCTGCAACTGCTAAATCTCCCTCAATGTCTTCCTCTCGGGAGAAAGTCGGGCTTCAGTGACAGTTGAGAACGTGTGCAATCCCACTGCAGCATCTCCTCCTGAATCATGCCTTGGCATCCTGGCGTGACCTCTTGTCAGTGTGCCCCACTGTGGGCTGTGGCTGCAGAACTGAGGACACCGCTGCCATCATTCCACCATGGTCATGCTTAAACAGACACACTTCAGAGGACTGGTGCAACCTCCTTGGCCTGCGTTTCAGAGAGAAAAGCCCACAGAGTGTGGTCTCTTTGGAAGCCCTCATTCTCGCTCATACTCATGGCTGGTCAGGTGCCTGTTTAGGAGACGGCGCTGTGGTCACAACAACAGTGGAGACCGCTTTAGAGGAACCAGAGGCTGTGCCCTGTTGGAGATGGGATGCTGGAACAGTCTGGATCCGTACCTGCTTGCCAGGAGAAAAACCTCTGATCAATAGTCTGAAAAATACAGGTGGGGGCATCATTTAAGAGCATTACAGGCAAGA